GAAGAAATCTCTAATTGTTGTTGTTTAGAATTAGATGAAGCAGAAAGTTCATTACTAATTTTTTTGAATCGATTTAAAGAAATAGTTGTTGCAGTTTGGGTTGTAGATAGACCGAGAGTTGTAGAGTGAGAAATTCTGTAGAATTTAGAAGTAAAACTGATATAATATACTCTACAAAGATATGTAGCAATAGTTGGTTGTAAGAGAACTTTGAAATAATGATGTTTTTTGACAGAGGCATCACAATTAATTGGATTGACATCTGCAGGAAATACTCATAGAGATTGAGGTCTTCCTTTAGTCATTTCTACACTGTAACAGTCTTTGTATTTGCCATAATAGTAGTTGATATCATAGGAATCTGGATCTTTGTTAATAAGAGTTAGCATTTTTGCTTAAAAGATGAAAATAAAGTAGATTATTGGAATCTTGGATGTGAGATGATCTGAAAGATATATGAGTGTGACAAATAAGGATGTGACAGATAACAGGGTGTGATAAATAAGAGAATGTGACAAACACAGGGTGTGCCAACTAAGTATTATATAGAGTATGTAACACTTGCAGATCTGTAAGTCAAGATTGATGTTAAACAGAAAAGTTGTATAAAATTAAAAGAATACAAGTTTGTAAACAGTACAGATTGATTCAGATAGTGTAATATTGATTAGTAATCCTGTTTGGGCGGGTTTGGATGGGGTAGACTAGAGGCAGCCCCCAAAAAAATTAAAAAATTTTTGTAAAAATAAAATATAAAGTTTTGCAAGAGAGTTTAAAAGTATTTTTTGATAAATCGGTCAATTTTAGGCCGTTTTTGATGATTTATATATCAAAATGAAGCTGATAATAAGCTCTTTTGGTTTGTTCTAAGTCACTAGAGCAGTTAACCTAGTAAAATTTTGAGATAACTTGAATAGAAGCATTTTTTAGTTTATTAAAAATATCTCTGTTAAAAAGAAACTTACTGATATAAAACTTAGTCATCTAAGTATAAAATTGTATTAGAAACAACTTTACTTAAACGTCCAGAAGTGGTTTACTTAATAAAATATTGAGTAAGAAACAAATGTTTGGAGCAGAAATTTGGTACAAGTAATCATTCGAAAGAGTTAGTGATTTGCATCCTCTTAATTTTAAAATACTTATTTCTGCAAGTGATACAAATCATGTATCAATAGTAAAAATTTGTTTTTATTATTTTACTAAAAGCATATAAAATTTTGTTTTGTATTAGGCTTAAAGTTAAGATTAGTATAAAAAGTATAGTATAATAAATTTTAACTAAGAATTTTTTTTGTTAAAATGTTAAAAGTGATTTTTTAGACAAAATTTTGAAAAAGCCTTCAATTTCACATTATACAAATATTGCAAAAATAAGAATACACCTTACAAAATACCTTTATTTAATACTATTTAGTATACTCTCTGCTATACAAGATATTTAGAAGATATAAATCAAATTTTTTACATATGAAATTTAATGTATCTAGATATCTTACATAACATTTTATAGTATGTAACTTTTATATTTATGTAATACTTAATAAAAATAAACCAATAATAAATCTTGATTTAACATAATATTATATAATTATAAAAATTCAAAACTAACATTCATTTTGTCAAAAATTACTTAATTTATATTCTGTGCATTTATTAAAAAATTTTTTAGATAAATACTAATTGATATATATCAAATAATTGATATTTATCGATTAGAATATAATAATATATATTAGCAGAATAGTTATATATTGATATATATCAAAATTAATACATATTGATAAACTAATATATATCGAAATTTGTATGTAAATTAATTATTATTAAATCTATTTAAATTGATAATAATTAGTTTATTGTTATTAATTAATATATAATATATACTTAATATATTAATATACAAACATACTATATACTAATACTTTAAGTATCTTAAATATCAATATATAATATATATTTAAAATAAGCATTTTTTAAATTTAATTTAACATTAGAATATGAAACAGTTTATTAAATATTCATTTTTGTTAAATTTCAAAACTATTAATAATCACTCGAACACAAAATCAGTAGAAAAGAAAATTAATTTTCTGTATAATTAGCAATAAAAAATACTTTAAACAACATTAAAAAAAAGTAATAATAACAAAAAGCATCAAATAAGCCTAGAAGCAAAGAAAACTGCAAGTGTTAGTAAGATAGTTATAAGAAAAAACCAAGTTTTCTTTTTAAAAAATCTAGCAAGAAAATAATAACTATAGAAGATTACTAGTAACCTTGTATGTAGATATGTTTATATTATACAAACAACATGTATAGCTTAAATAAAACAAACATATACAAGATTCTAGATTAGAATAAAATAAACAAGCCAATTGTGAAATAGTAAACAAACAAGATACAACAAAAACATATGATAAAATACTCTAAAAAAATAAAATTATAAAAATAAATAAAAGCCTTCTTAAAGAATAAAAGAAAGCTTATAAACAATTTTTATAAGAAAAGCATACTGAGTTATGAATAGCATATATAACAAAATTTTTTTCAATAAGGCAGGAAAAACATATACAGTATCAGATAAAGAAGACAAAACCATTAAATGCTTATAAACCAAGATTCAAATGAAATAGCTCTTTTATAATTAACAAAAGAAATATTAGAAAAGCTAAGAAAGAACAGCTTAAAAAAAGCTTAATATAAGCATAAAAAATCAAGACTTGGTAATAGAAACAGAAAAAAAATAAACATAATATAACTAAAATGAAGAACAGCAAATAATAACAAAAAAAAATAAAGAAGAAAGCATTAAGCAAAAACAAGAAAAGAAAAAAAGCACAAAAAAAAGAATTAAAAGTATAAAAAAACAAGAAGAAGTAAATGTATTACAAAAAGAAAAATAGATAGAGGTAAGTACAAAAAAAATAACAAACTGCTAGTTAAATTCTCTATCCAGAAACCAGAAATCGAGAAACAAAAAGATATAAATAAACAAGAAGATATAGAAATAAATAGCAAACAGTCAAGACATAATATATTAGAAGAAAAAAAAGAAAGACAAAAGAGAAGAAAGCAAGAAACAAAAAAAGAAATCAACATAGTAGAAATAGCATTAAAACAGAGTATATAGATACTAGAGTTCTGCAAATAAACATGCTAAGCATGTTTGGTATTATGCTAGGCACTGTTGGCACTATGCTAGACAGGAATATTAGTGCCCAAGTGGCTACTATTTTTTTTTATTGTCCTCTAAACTTCTGCCAGTGCCAGTGCCAGTGCTACAATATTTTTGGCATATGCCAGCATATATCATATATTATAGAAATACATTTATATGATTAACAAAACTTTATGCTTTACTATAAACAATAACCTTATTTTATTTTTCATTTTCAATCATTATAAGTTAATTTCTTTATTTTATTCACTATATAGAAAATTATAAAGAGATTGAAAACTAGTAGTACTATAAATATATATATTGCTTGACAGAATAATAATAGAAACAATTCAAATACTAGTGCTAGTTAAATAAAATCAAATCCTAATTAATAATTCTATAATTTAATATACTTTAATATCTAACTATATACTATGAATAAATAAGTTTTTACAAATGCATATTTTTTTAATCCACATCTGATATCAAAACTAAATTCACATATGTGTGATATTTTCAGATTATAGTAGTAAAGTTTCATTTTTTATACAATGAATATTGATATTCACCCAAAGTCAATTATAAGTAAAACTTTTGTATAAATTATTTTGCATAAAGTATAGCTAATTTTAAAATTATATAAACTAATCTAGTTCTATTTTATATTTTATTTTCATATTTTATTTATAATAAATTTCTGTATTTATTATCTAATTTATTATATAGTATCTTCAAATAAGCTTTTTTAATTATTATATAAATATTATTATTTATTTACATTATTTAGTAATAATTACAGCATCAATAAGATAATTTCTCTATATCAAAGTAAAAAATTTTATGTGTAATTATTAAAAAAAAGGATTAAATTAAAGTAATTAATATATTGTAACATAATTTATAAAATGTTGCATTATTATAATATTATGATGTCATATTAATTGTATTATTATAATACTGACAATGCTATATATTATATCATTTATTAAATAAAAGAACATACTTAACTTCACTATTGTGTATGCTTTTTACTTAGTATTTATCTTCAACTTTGGTTTATTCTCCAATCTTGTGTTCATATTTCAATATATACTTTATTATTTCTATTAATAGATAACTTAACAACAACATACTCTGATGATTTTACTTCAAATATCTCATCAGAAGATCATATAACAGAATCAAATAACAGTACATATACTACTAAAAAGCATTGAACAAAAGTGTTGCATAAAAATTAAATGGTTCACCAATCAAGCATTGCAATTAAAAATGATATTCAGTTAATACTAGTAAATCTCATTTAAAAAAATATACAATTTTATGTAGAACACAAAGTATAAAGTTTGGTTTTAATAAACCTATTACAAAGAAGAATGTAGACAATTCAATAATTGATTTTGTTGTTAATAGTGGGAATTCTTTTAATGTTCTTAATAGTTTATTATTTTATAAAATGATAAACAAGCTTTATTATATTACAAATACATATAAAGTTTCTTATTTAACAACAATATTACATTATCTCTCAGAAAGTATTTATAAAATAAGGTTTAAATTTATTAAAAATGTTATAGCAGAAATGCTAGAATGGATTTCACTAACCTGTAATAGATGGCACTTGACTGTTTATAGATGTCATTATATAGTTGTTACAGGATTATGGATAAGTGATAATTGAAAAATTATTAATATTATATTAAGTTTTCAAAAATCTGAACAAATTGCAAAAAACATTAAATTAATAATAATTAATATATTAAATGATTATAATATTAGAAATAAGATATTTTCACTTACTATAAACAATACTACAACAAATAAATCAGTTACTCAAATGCTTCAGAATAAGTTATCTAATATAAATCTTATATCTATTAGATGTATATATCATATTCTTAATCTTATTGTGAAGACAGAATTAACAGAAATTGATAGACTTCAACAAAAAGTACATAAAGTTATAAAATATTTAGCCAACCCTTTAGCTAATAGATGTTTAGAATTATTAGAATCATATTGTAGAGTTGTTGGAATAAATTTTTTATAACCAATTCTTGAAATAGATATTTGTTAGAATTCTACTTTAATTCTATTTAAAAGATATATTATATTATATCTTGCAATTAAAAAAATGTGCTTAATGGAACCATCAATGCCATTATGTTTAGAAACAGAGAAATTATTAAAACTGAAATCATTTTGTTAGATTCTCAAACCATTTGAGATTGTGACAACTATTCTTTCTAAAAATCAGTCGAATTCAATTTCAAATGCTTTAAGAATAATATTAAAAATTGAACAACATATTAATAATATTAGACATAATAGCAATGCAGTATGCTTGATGAAAAAAAATTTTCAAAAATATTGATCTAAAATATCAGATTATGTTTTAATCGTATATGTTCTTAATTCAAAATATAAAATAGAACATTTGAAAGCAACTATAATAGAAGTTGGTAGATATTCAAAGAGCAAAGCTGAACAATATGTTAATAGCATTCAACAAAAAATATTTTTATATAAAACAAAATATACAAGTTCACAATTTTCTATTTCAGAAATAGAAAGTAATAATAGTATAATGCATAAGGTTTTCTTTTCTAAAAGATTAAAAAAAAATCACACTAATACAGGTTCTCTTAATTATAAATTAGAATTATATAAGAGAGAACTTCTTGAAAATTTTAAGAATAAAAGTGACAATGCAGAAAGTAATAGAATATTTAGTTGAAAATCATTATCAAAATAATTTCTAATTCTTAGTCAGATGGCTTTGGATTTTCTTAGTATTCAACCTTCTACTATTGCTAGTAAAAGAGCTTTCGTTTGAGCTGGCTTTACAGTTACTAATAATAGGGCTAATCTTAATAAAAAAACAGTATCTCACATAATACTTATGCATTTGTAGTTAAAAGAAAGTTAGAAAAAATTTAGTCTACTTAAAGATTTACTTGAAACAACATAATATTATTCTTGTTATATTCTTGTTCTAAAATCTAAGTACTATAGGAAATAATGATTTCTTAAAATATTGCTATTGCAAAATTATACTTTATAAAATATTTACTAATTGACAATAACTCTAATTAGTAATAACTCTAATTGACAATAACTCTAATTGGTGATAACTAAAAATATAACTTAATAAATAAAATAAATAAAGTAATATTATTTCAAGTTAAATTTATAAATGATTATAATAACTAATAATTTAAACATAGTAATGATATATAGTAAAAGGAAGTCTTCTTAAAGAATTTTATAACTATTTTGGTTAAGTATTATTTTCTTTGCTTTATTATGATGAGACATTAATGAGGTAATAATTAAATAAATTATTAAAATTCTTTAATTTGTAGTGATAAGATCTTAAATTCTAATTAGGTTTTGTAAAATTACCTAAGTTGGATAGAAAATTTTAAATACCCAATTTTTGCATTATTGTCAATATTAGCATTAAGCTTAAAAACAAATTTTACCATATATAATGCTAAAAAACAAATAGTTTATTGAAAAATAGCTTAATAATAAGACAAATTTTGCTAAATTGTGCATGTACAATATGATTTTAGTTAACTACATATTATGTATCACATATATGAGCAATAATTAATAAGTTTTATGCCTAGTACTGTTGGCACTATGCTGGGCACTAATGCTAGTGCCAATGCTAGTGCCAGTGCCTATATAAGTGCCTACTTAAATTGTGTCTATGCTTCAAATTTTAAAACCAAAGTTGAACTCATGTCTTAAAAAATTTTTTTTGTATTGGCATATGCTGGGTTTGTAAAATCCTAATAGGCATCAAGCAGAAAAACTGTAATTGAAACAAAGTTTAATTACCAATATATTAGCATATAATGTTCATAGCAAAACAGATAAAGAATGTATAAAGTTTATTAGATAATCTTTAAAAACTAACATATATATAAAAAATATTAAAGAACTATTTAAGAGAAAAAAACTTTGAATGGAAGTAGTTTTTGACTATAAATATAGCAGAGATGAAGCTATACAAAGAATTAGTAAAAAGGAAAGTAATTAGTACAAGATAATATCAAAAGATGAAGTAAGAAAAGAAAACAAAAAAGGAAAACAAAGAGATGATAAGAAAGAACAACAAAATAAAAAAAGATATATATCAAACTTTAGAAAGAAAAAGTCTGATACAAGTAAGAACAAAAGAAATTTGAATAATAACAAATATAAAGAAGATAAAAGATCTAACAATGTGATCTATCTAATAATTTAGAACTTATAAACTAATATAAACAAAAAAAAAAATAGAGTATATTTGCAAAAGAATCAAAAATATATAGATAATATGCATTAAAAGATTTAAATACAAGGCTTTAGCAGTAATTCAAATACAAAAAGTTAAAAAAAAAGACATCTTATAGTGACTATCAGCAAACAATAATAAGCTAATAAAAGTAACAAGAGGAAGAGAAGATTACAAAGCAAAAGAAGAACAGAGAAAGTATACAACAAAATTAACAGAGCTATTTGAAAATGCTTTAAAAGTCTTACTATTATAATGTCTAAGAAGTAAAAAAACAAAGTCTATATATATTTTACTAAACTGAAATAAAAACTAAAAAAGAATAGCAATAATTATGTTTACAACAAAGAAGAATATGAAGGCAGCTCAATCAAAACCAATTATATATAATAACTTTTAAGTATAATGAGTAAATAAAAAAAAAAAAAAACTGAGAAGAAGAAAAGGCACTAAAGAAGAAAGAGAAAGAAGTTAGATAAGTTTAGTCAAACCTCTGATACAAATAAAAATAGAAGCAGAAAAAGAAATTATTAGAACAAAATATATATAAAAGAAAAAAGAAACAAAATAGATTTAAGAATAGAAAATTAAATAATAAAAAAAGAAAATATCAACCAAAACCAGAATACTAAAAACCAAAAAAAATATAAAAGCATAAATGAAAAAGAAAAAAAAAAACTTCAAGAAAAAGACTAATAAAAACAAGACTTAGCAGCAAAAAAAAGATGTATATATAGAAGATATACTAGAATGAATTTTGAAAAGATTAGAAAAATTAAAAGAAATAAAAGATTCAACATAGAATAATATAGCCAGATGCTTTTAAAGACACCTTAGTTGAAAATATGAATATAGATAAAAAAATTAAAAAATTTTTACAAAATAAGAGAAAAGCTTTTGAAAAAGAAAGAAAAAGTATAATCTCTTATTTGAAAGAAGAAAAGAGCAAAAAAAAAAAGAAAAAGAAGAAAATATAAATATAGAACAAGAGCAGTTAAAAAAGTGATAGAAAAAAAATAAAAAAGAAATTAAAATAGCATATTATAATGTTAAGAAACTTAAAACCAAAAATGAAAACTTAAAAGTCTGCTAGACTGAGCAGAAAAAAAAGAAATTACAATACTAAAAATTACAGAAATGAATCTTATAAAAAAAGAAGAAAGATTTTTAATATATACTGCAAATAGTAGATATGTAAAATTATGATTAAATGCAACAAAGAAGAAAAAAAAAAGATCTGATATAAGTACTTGGTTGATAAACAATAATAAAAACATATAGATATTATTAAAAAAAAAAATAAGTATATAATAAAGCTTATACTATATTTTAAACAATTGGAGTTAATAGTCTTAGAAGTTTATATATTATCAAATGACAGAGCAATAAGAAAAAGCATTCAATAAAAGATAGTAGAAATAGTTTTTAAAAGAAAAAAACAAATACAGATAGTTATAATGAATTACTTAACTATACAACAAATAATATATTAGATAGACAACATCTGCAAATAACAAATTTTAGAAGAACACATATCTTCAATTAGATGAAGAAACAAGACTTCAGTGATACTTATAGAGACATGTATCTAACAAGCCAAGAGTATATATAGTCAAAAGAAAAGTAGCAACCAATCACAACTCTCTTCACTGATCACTTGTACACAAACTGCAAAAAAATAATTTAGAAGTTTGCCAACAAATAACTGTCTAAACTGACTTTACAGGTTTAAGAAAAAAGATAGAGCTAGTAAAGAAAGTATAACAAAGACAAGAAAGAGAAAATTTGGATAACTTGCTAAGAAGATAGAATAGAAAATGTCTTGGTTGACATTAGAGAAAACAGAATTTGGGAAATTCTCTGTAATCTGGAAACCTAAATTTGTAGATCACTGAAACATATGAACAAAAGAACAAAACAAACATGTAGATTAGTTAGTATGCAAATAAACCTAATTAGGATAGTAATAAACATAAGCATAGAAGATTTCAGAACAACAAGTAACAAACAGGAATCACTGATATCTAGATAGGAAAATGAGTAATACACAAAATTGAAAAAAAAGTCTAATAACAATCTATATCAAGAAAGCATATTGGGCAGCAAACAGTATACACAACAAGGTGTTTTTTAACTAAGCAAGCAAACTATTTTCAACACCAGTCAAAGAAGATGAAATTGTTGCTATGCTAACAGAACAAGACCCAATAGAGGTTGCTCTGCTATGTATAACTAGAGAGATAATCAAAAAAGCAGAAGAAGAGCAACCAGAAAAGAAAATTAATATTAATAAACAAAACAAAAATGCTATAATAAAAGAACCAGCAATAGCACAGTTACAGGACAAAAGTAAAGACATACAGCAACAGCCAAATGAAGCAAGCAGAAGTCAAGAAGAATTATACAAAGTAATGCAAGAAAAGAAGACAGAAAGTGAAAAAATAGCAGAGAAAAAACTACAAAACAACAGCAGCTTACAAAAAAAAGTAAGTATAGAGGTAAGTTTAATAAACAAAGATCAAATAAAGGAGAATTTGCCTACTCAAAGGAGAAATGCAGAAGAACAGAAGAGAAGCAAGAACAAGAAGGCATTAGGAAAGAAAATTGAAAAAGAAATTGACATATTTGGAGAATCTTTAGAAAAGAGCATGTAGGCCCCAAACAAAAGAAACTGCAACCAAAACAACAATTTAATCACTAACATACCAGTGCATAATGTACCTGGTAAAACAAAAAAAGATTATATGAAATTCATCAGATGGTCTCTAAGAAACAACATGCATGTTAAAGATATTAGAGAAATTTTCAAAAAAGAAAATTTATAGATAGAAGTAGACTTTGACTGCGAATTTGGCAGAAGTGAAGCAATACAAAGAATTAGCAGAAAGGAGAGTGACTGGTACAAAATGATACCAAAAGAAAAAGAGGAAGATAGTAGAAGAAAACAAACACAATACAATGAGAAATACCAGAAGGAAAGAAACAATAAAGCAAGAACCAGAGAAGAAGAACTCAAGCAGAAAATAAATGAAAACAAGATAAACAAAAACCAATACAGAATAAATGAAGAATTAGAAGACACAAAAGACATAACAATCTGGGACTTGCCAATAAACATAAACAAGAAAGAAGTAGAATACATCTGCAGAAGATTTAGGAAAGCCCACATAGTAAGAATTAAAAGGTTAAAGTATAAGGCCTTAGCTATTGTACAAATAGAAAAAACATATGAGGACATATTATGGGCTATACTAGTAAACAATAACAAGTTAATATGAGTAACTAAGAGGATAGAGAACTATGAAGCGAGAGAAAGATAAAGAAAATATACAACAAAACTGACAGAATTACCAGGAAGCTGCTTAGAAGTTCTACTATTATGGAGTTTGAAAAGCAAAAGAGTTAAATCAGTCCACATACTTCCAAACAAAAATAGAAACCAAAGAAGAACTGCAACCATTATGTTTGCAACAGAAGAGGATATGAAATTTGCTCAGTCAAAACCATTTATGTTTAACAACTTCTGACTTTATTAGATAAAAGAAGGA